TTCCCTCTCCCCTCCTTCATCAATCTCTCCATTTACCACCCCTTCCCTCTCCCCTTCCGCAGGGTTCCAAACCGCCTTCCAAACCTCCACCCCAGCCCTACCCCAGTGCTTCGCCACCTCTTTCTCTTCCCTCCTACGCCCTTCCTCCTCCAACGCGGGCGTCGGTGTGAAGAGGTGTTGGATCACGGCTGGTCGGCTCGCTTCGATGGCTACGGATATGAGGGCGGGGATGTCGGTGCGTTGGGCGAGGTGGAGGGTTATTTTGCCTGGGTGGGGGGTGGATGGGATTTTTGGAGGGGGGCTGGTTGGGGGGTTTAGGGAGGAGGAGAAGGATGGGTGTGTGGATGGGTGTCTGGATTTGTGTTTATTTCGCATGTTTTTCTTTTGACGGCGGGTTGGGTTTTGGTTTTGGGGGGTTGGATTGGTGGATGTTGGATGGTGAGTGAGTCAATATCGACCTTATCTTCGTTCTCCTTTTCTCTTCTCCTTCTCTTTCCCCGTATCCTCAGACTTTCTCTACTCTGGTCTGATCGTCGTCGTTTTCTCAATTCCTCTTTACTCGTACCCAAAATAAGCACTCGGAAGAAGTAGAAGCATGAAGGGGAATTGGCTGTACTCCAGTAGGATATGAATGAATATGAGTATGAATATAAATATGGATATGAGTATAGATTTGAATATGAATATGAATATAGATATGGAGAAATAAGATATCTCTTCTTCTTCTCTTATACTAGATAGAGTACCTAGTATGGTATTAGATTGTGTCTTGCGTTGAACTTTTGGGTATGGATGGGAAATTGGGAGGGGGCGATTGTAGGACTATATCTGGGTGAGGGGTGAAGATAAGGGAGGTGTAGATAAGGGGCAAGGGGAAAGGAGGGGTGAAGGTATGATGTCATTGGTAATTGTGCGTTCAAGTCCCTTTCCCTATCGCTACTCGTAGTTATAGTACCAGGCCCAGGACCGGCGTAATTACAATAAAACTAAGAACAACGTATACCGTGATAAATCGTTCTTGAAGGAAATGCTAGGGTGTGAGGGTGGAGTACTGAATAGCACGAAACATTGTTCACTATAAGTAGAGGCTCCTACTCCTTCTGATACGTAGAAGATTGCGATGAGCTGTTTTCTCTCGAAAATTGTTATAGTACCTGAGTGCCCCGAGATTATATATGGGTTATTAACTTGTTAGCTTTTGCGAATTTGCTCTTGTACCTTGGTATTTGTTCTAGGGACGGTTTACGAGGATATATAAGGTTGGGGGTTTAATCTGGGCATGGAAAGTAAGATTGTTTTGACTATTTGGGGGTACGGTATGTAAAGTGTCTGGACCGCTCCCGCCTACCCCTCCTATGTTGTATACGACTTGTTGGGTAGGCTATGACTCCTTAATATTGCTCTCTAAGCTAGTTGGAATGCGCGATTCATGTGGAGGTATATGTTATGGTGGGAATCAAGGAATAGATTGTTCGCAAGGAGGGAAGAGAGACGCTCTTCGCACTCCTTAGGTACTTGTCTATCTACGGAAGGGTACACCCGCAACTTCGCTAAGCGAACCTTTATTCACTTATTTATTTATTTATTACTATTTAACGTCAGGCGGAATCTAACTCGCGTGGGCTAGGTCCTAAAAGTCCCATTGTTGGG